TCAACTATTCTCTCCAACGTTTTCAGGAGGAAAGATGTTAAACTTATCGGGCGATATGCCTTTGCCTGGGCATACGATGGACGCCCTGGTTTAGGAATAAACGCCACGTTCGTCGATCTCCATGCCAGCGGTATATAACCAAGTGCAATGCTGGCTCTGAAGACGTGAATTAAGACCGGAGCTAGACAGTCCACCCCCTGCTGTAGCAGTACAGGTAGGATTCCATCGGCTCCTGGTGATTTAAATGGGTCAAAAGAACTTATTGCCCATCTTATTCGTGACTGACTCACCACCGTCTTGGCAACCTCCCAGTTCTGTCGAGACCCGGTCGTTACCCTCTGCTGGTGATTCCAGTCATATTCATCTCCATGATTTAATAACCTGGAGCCTGGAAAGTGAGTATTTAGAAGTAATTCCAATGTCTCCCTTCCAGTTTTGGTATATTCCCCACTCGGTGCTTTGAGAGACCCGAGTTTCGTATGTCCGTTCTTAGAGAGAAGTCTCTGGAGTTTAGCACACTGTGGGACACTATCAATATCCTCACAGAACTTCCTCCATGAGTCTCTCTTCGCTTTTCTAATTTCTTTATTATACTCAGTGAGGGTTGCTCTATAAGCCTCCCACTCTCCTGTCCGCTTTGCTCTATTAAATAGTTTTCTTGTCTGTCCCCTCAACTGCGTGAGTTCCTTGCTCCACCAGGGTACGGTGTGCTTATCGGACCTCACTTTGATAGGACAGCACATAGATTACTTAGATTTGACAATACTGTTACAAGCGTTAGGTATTAATTTATAGACTATAATATATATATATATAAACACACATTTTCTTGAATAAATACCAAGTCACCTCTATTTTTCGTCAGAAATGAAGTAGTTTAGCAAATGTTTGTAAAAGTACATTTTTGTGTAGAATTAAAAAGTACATGAGGAAAAAGGAACCAGTCATATCCAACAAGAAAATTGTGGTTTGCAACATACCATACACACTGTGTAACTTATTTAAAAAACTAATCAAATTAGGTTATTTATGGCCATTCAAAACATATGCCTACCAAGTTTTAATACGATAAGTCAGTTAAGTTCAAGTAATGATCATTGTTTAAAAACTTTAGTTCACCTATAATGAGTTTAGTAGGTTCTGTCAGTAGGTACAAAGTAATGCTTAATTAAGATAGGTTATAATCAGCCATATTTTAAAAAATATTGGCAGAATTTATTTAAAAAAATAACTCGAACACGTATCTTGAAAACAAAACAATAGATCCACAGTTTTACAGTAAACAAATGTTATTTTTTTGTATTATTTCCCTTAGAGTTTATGCTACATTATTTATAAACACCCTGAATACATATTTAAAATTATTTAAAAGTATCAGCTATTGCACCAATATTATCTCCACTCGTAGAAAAAAAATATAGAGTACAAAGTAGTTCTTTTTTCAGACAGGAGAAAAATATACATCCATGCCAAAAAATAGTTTGTCAATAAAGACCTGCAGATTTTCCCCAACTGGTGAATTATTAGTAACTGCAGGGGATGACGAAAAAGCTGTGATATGGGATATAAACACCTCAGGGAAAATAGCGTAAGACTAAAAACTCTTAATGAATTTGTGGTTTACTCTTTACAATACTTTATAAAATGAATGTCTATAGCGTAGGTAACTTAAAATTTCAAGTTAAATTTTCTATAAATTACTCTGTTTATATTATTATACCTTTTAGGATTTTGGAAGGTCACCTGGACACAATCACCTCAGCATGTTTTTCCCCGGATGGCAAAATTATAATAACTGTTTCATGCAATGCTGATTTTAGAGTCTGGTCGGTAGAAGGCTATAACTGTTTATACACTAAGGAAGATGCCCATGAATACGGAATACAGAGCTGTGATATGTCCCAAAATTTAGAACCCATTCCTAACATTGTTGTCGATGCACAATCCTACCTACTAGCTACTTGTGGCAATGATAGTCTGGTGAAACTATGGAGAATAACGGTTCCAAAGGTAAACAAGGAAATATTTCACACTACATGTACAGGGTGGGTGAAAAGTATCCGCAATTTTTTCAGACATATGAGTAGGCTATAACTACCACATAATTCAACAAACCAACACACTCAAAAAATAAAAAACATTTATTAGATCAACATTAATGAGATTAAACAGAAAAATTTCAACAAATATTCAAAATTGCTACCTTTGGCTTCAGTACATTTATCAGCCTCTTTCGAAAATTACCAATGGTTGGCGCACATTTTATCATTGTAATTTTGTCCCAGCCACTTTCCAATGCCATTTTTAGCTGTTCAACGATTGTGTATCACCTTCCTGAGGTTTTTTGGTCCATTAATGAGTTCATTAGGTTGAGATCTGGCGAGTTCGGTGGCCAAACGTGCTTGCCCTAAAAACCCAGAAAAAACTGCTCAGTCTTGCTATAGCGTGAATCTGTCCGCGCCGAGGTACCGTGTCACCTACGGCTTCAAAGTGCGCCGAAGAACCCATTCCTGGTATTCGGTGGCGTTAATTTTGACGTTGCTTGGAAGAAACACCAACATATCTTTTCGGTGCAGATGCCGGCCCAGACCATCACCAAGGTTAGAAAACAATTGTGGAGTGGTTCAATTGTGAAAACCTTCTCGTCAGACAACTAACTAGCTGACACATTGGGCAATATTTTTGTACCCGCTTTTCACCTTCATTGAATCATTGAGGTAGTGGTTGCGAGTAACCTTGTAACTTCGAAGTCCCAGCTTCTTGATGATGCTTTGGACGGGTTCAGCACTGATTCTGAGCTCTGTGACCATCTTACATATTGAGAATTTGAGATTTCGACGAATTCGATGTCGCACCTTGTTGACTTTCTTCGGAGTAGTGCCGCTTGATGGGCGTCCGCTTCGAAAACGGTCCATAGTCCCTCCAATCTCCTTACAACGTGTCAGAGCCGGTCGTCTTTATTCCCATCTGTTCAATTCAGCAACAGTAACATGCTTTTCACGGTCCACAGCACAAATTTAACTATAAATAATAATCAAACAATATTTATGATTAAAATTCAATTCCTTAGAATTTGAAAAAAAAAAACAAAGAATAACATCAAATTACTCCAAAAAATATTGATGGGAACCTTCCAAGCACCCTATTGTCCACAATTTTGAACCCAATAAAGTGGTTACGAATTTAATCAATAGAACTCATTGTAATTTAAAAATTATAATTCAGTAATTGTTTGTGATTTACTGGTATATACATAGTCTTTCCGATCTCAGTTGAAGAACCAAGAGGTTGGCAGTATTTACCAGGTTCAGTTGCTGACGCAGCAACTCAGCACTATAGTTTTTGAAAAACTTGTTCTCATATTTATTTAGCCATACCCATATATAGGTCTGGTCGCCCAGTTGAAGAATAAGCGTGCGGGCAAAGGCAGCATAAACATAGCCGCACTGGGCATCCTGGCCATAAATTCAGTTGTCAACAAATGGCCTAGCAGTGGAGACCGCCTAGCCGGGTGTCTTGGCCGGCGGATTTCGATCTGCCGAGTCAAGCATCACGGACGTGGGCTGGAATTTGGATGGGTGACCTAAGGCAGGCTCGGGGACGTGGNTAGTTATTTAAACTATTACCACCACGCGTTACAATAAAACATTTATTATTATTAACTATTACCATCACTTGGTCATACATAACTCAATAAGTTGTTGCGTTAAAATTAAAATATTATTACAATTTTAATTTTATTATAACAAATTAATTCTTAAAAATGCATATGAACAACCAACACGCCAACTGAATATTATTCTTTAAAAAATTTCAGTAAATGTTCAAAAACATTTTCATTTTGGCAAAGGTTAAAAATGAAGATCAGCATAATATTATCGGAATTTATTATATCTGTAACTGCAACTGTGAAAGGGCATATCAGATGTATTTGTATGAATATCCTGAAAAAAATAGATCGGAATTTGTTTGAATTTTGAGCACTCGAGAAGCCTAGAAATAACTATGGACACGCGAATAAAACTCTAATAATGTTTTATTATAATGCGTGGTGGTAATAGGTTAAATAACTAGATGGATTTTGCAGGGTCTAACGACACTTACAGTGTACGACAACTCAATAAACAAAGAAACCTAAATAAAAAATTTAGATAAATTTGGAACCAATACACTGAAGATGAATTTTTCGAGACAAAACGTCTGAATCTGGTTCGGACTGAGGCAATACAGTATTGGGGGTCATGAAGGCTTACAAAATATTTAATAAAATTTCTAGGGGCGTATTTAAAAAAATGAAGTTGATGATGGTCCTGGACAGACGAAACATTACATATAAAAATTGATTATGCCATTCGATAGAGGGCAAAAAGTGGCCATGAGAAAGTGTCCTTCTTTTTTCAATATCTCCTCGAACAAGGCTGAAATTAAACAAAAACGGATTTAAAAAAAAATCGTTCAAATATCAAATCAAGTATTTCGAAAACTTGTTAGCCTTGATTTTTTAGAGGCATAATGTTGGTCCCCTGATTACGCAACTTTGCCCCCATTTAAGCTACTTCATACCTCTTACTGTTTCCGAGATCCCTGTAGTGAGAAGCGAATTTGTAACAGCCTGTATACAGTGTGGACCAAAAACCAAAAAATGCTCTATTCGCTCAGCTTAAAATTCGATATAAGAAAAAAGAAAGTTAATTATGGTTTCTCGTAACCGAAACGTCGCAATCAGAATCTAAACGTGCAGTGAAATTCCTTGAAATTCCTTCTTGCTGTGAAGTGTCTTCAGATTTTAAAAAATCCTCAAAATAAAAAAGTTACAGACGATTTTCGAAAACGCCCACATTTACTTTTTTTTTAATAACTCAAAAACCTGAAAATCTGGGACTGGTCTGCAAGCTCCAGTAAGTTAACCAGAGAACTGTCTAAAACTTTCCTCATTTAACCATTTTCCTATCTCTTATAGTTTCCAAGATACCAATATATGCATCATCAAAATGGTCCACCAATTACAGCTACTGTAAATGCAGCAACATGAAAAAGCATAATCTTGCATATGTCAAAAAACACGCTTATTATAGAGGGTATAAATAAAATGTTTATCCCAACTTTAATGATGAATTAAGAAAAGTAACAAATTAATTTAATAAGAAATAATTTTCATTTTGAAATTAAATTAGGTACAAATAAATATTATAATGAAAAATAGCATATGTTTACAATACAAATTACATACACTGAAACTGATCGCAAGTTACCCTGCTCGTATATCCGATAAAAAGGTCATAACCTGATTTTATTTTTTAATTTTATTGGGCAAGTACTGCTGAATATTATAAAAGCAAATCTAGATAGGGTGTCCATCTTTTGCTTAACCACATTGATGCAAAATGAGCAGAATGAGCAAGCTGACTAAAACTGTCTCTTTTATTCCAGTGATAAAACTGTAAGAATATGGGACTGGATACCGGGCTCTGGATATGTACAGAGGTCAAATTCTCCGTTAAAGGGCCACAAGTACCAAGTAACATGTGTTCGAGTATCTCCTCAAGGTTCTATGCTGGCGAGTTCTTCGGTAGATGGAACTGCAGTTCTATGGAATCTTCATTCAAGCGCAAGGCTGTATACAATGACTCAGGTCAATGGAGATGCCATCAGAGTGTGCAGGTAAACCAATGTGTCAAATTAAAAAGGTTATTACATATTAAAATATTATGTATTGTGGAAACTTTTAAGACCAAAAAGAAATTCTACAAAATAGGTAAAAAAAAAAACAGTTTGTCACTAAGTAGCTTTTCATTTTTCAGGTTTTCACCAGATAGTGCCATTTTGGTGACTGCTGGTGATAATGGTGCTGTTTGTGTATGGGACTTAGTTCATAGGAGCCTAATAAAGTGTGTACCTATTTAGACAATTTTTATTATCATATATTACTTTTAAATTTAAGTATCTACATAAATGTTTCAAAAAAAGGTGCTATAAAGTCAGAGGCTGACTGATTACCAAAGTTAAAGACGATTTTTTCGTATAAACCATGGGTCCTTTAATTTTGAAGTTCGGGGCGTCAAAAATATATTTTTTTAATTAATTTTTAGCCACTTTTTTCGAAAAAAGTACTGCATTTAAATTATATATCACTAAGTTTAAATTACAAATGCAGTATCATAAGTTTTTGACTATTTTGTAGAAGACACCAACTACAATCCCAGTGACATTTTAAAATATTACTTCTTAGATGTTGGATTTCCCGCATTGTATGTTACATTTTTTCATATTTTACATACAAAAAATATTCTTATTGAAACTGCAAAAATGCATTATTTCTGAAAAAAACAATTCAACGCGCTACTGTCAACCAATTCTCTAAAAAAATATGAGTGCTAATTTTTCAAGTAATTTTAAAAAGAAAACTTATAAACAAATGTTCAAAAATTAATACAAAGGGCGCTGAAAATTTAATAATTTTTCGTTATATGTATCTGAAAACAAATTGAAGTACCTCAAATTTGTATCACATGAATACCTCATTCTTCGACAAATTAAAATTCTTAAATTTTTTATGTACAATACTGTTTAAAAAATGTCTCTTATTAATTGTCTCATTTGGGTCTTGTGAAAAACATGATTTTATTAAATAATAGTAACACATAAAGAAACTGATCCCGTCAAAACGGCGAATTTCTTGGTAAAGCTCTGATAAAACTGTTTGTCCCTATATTAACATAATGTAGTTATTAAAAAAAGTAATATTTAAGGACAGAAGGTACGTGATTTTGGCGCAACCTATTGTTTCTTCTTGAAATATAAAATTTCACGTTATAACATAATGTTGTGGAACTAGTACAATAGTGTATAATATACAAAATATAAGTTTATATTAACTTTTGATTTTTTTTAAATAGATCTAGAAAGTAGGTACCTCTCTACTTACTAAGCCTGACTTGTATTTACTGTTGTATTGTGTGATAACTCTGTATTTACTCTTGTGCTTTTAGTTAATTAACCAGATTAGTATCTAGTGGTGGGGAGGGGGGCACTACCCCCTCTCCACCCTTAAATGGTGCCCATGCCATGGTCTGTAGACAAAAACTGAATTATCTTTTGATGCTCTGCTAATCCTGAATTTATGACATCTTTTTTCGAAACACTGTATATTATAATTATGTTAATCTTCATGTTGTTTTGTATATTTAAAAGTTTATAAAATAATTTTTTTATAGTCAGGTAGCTATATGACATACATGTTTTTTTAGGACTTTATTTGAGCATGAAGGTACAACTCAGTCTTTAGCCTTTACTCCAGATTCCCAATATTTAGTTACGGCATGTTCTTTAGAGGTTGTAAAGGTTTGGTATGTGCAAGACCTGGTGGACACCACAACAGACACAACTTATAACCCAGTGGCTAGGATCGACAATGCCCATGACATGGGAGTATTTTGTACAGACATATCTAAACATATCACATTTGATGGTACTTTTTAAAATTTAGACTAGTGTAATAAGGCTTAACTTTCTTGTATTTGCAGAAAATAACCCCTTAATCCGCTACTACAAACTAGCGACGAGCGGGAATAACAACGAAATAAAAATATGGACAATCACATCCAAAACTGTTCCAAAACATAAAAATGCTTACAGCCACGAAGTAGTGATAGAGCCTTATGAAGTTTACGATGGTCACAGTTCCTCCATTACTTGTATAAGATATAGCAATAATGGTGCCTATTTAGTGTCGTCGAGTTTAGATAAGTTGGTGAAGATTTGGGACAAAGATGGTGCCTGTATAGCGACTTTGCAAGGTCATAATAGATATGTTAATTGTGTAGCAGTTTCAAAAGATTCATCTCTAATCGCTTCAGGTAGGGACCAACTCAAATGATATTGAATCAGATTAAAATTCTATCGAGAATTTTTTTTTTTGTTAAAGTGATAACTAAATGTGGGAAAAGTATCTTTAGTAATGCTATAAATAAATAGCTCGTACATTTCTGTATATTTTTGAATAATAGATATTTTCAAATAACAAAATGGAATAGTTGAAGAATTTGTTGCCACATCATCGATTTAGACTTCTTTATGTTTTAAGGGATTAACTCCTTTGGCTGGTATTCATATTTGTTGTGTCCACTGGTCTATGTCATTTCCAAATTCCAGGTTATTGGCAAATATCAAAAACCAGAACAACATGAGCCAATGATTAAAAGTCAAGCATTGGAATTGCATGGACATACAGTAAATATAAATAGCATAAAAACATAAAACACACCACAGAAATGAGACAACCCCCAAATCCAAAGCCAAAGGCTTGTGCGGAAGGGGGCTACACTTGAAAAAACGCGGACAAACACCCATTATCCATCGACATTGCCAGTGCTGACACCGGGGATCGAACCCGGACCAGAGTAGGAAGCCTAGCCAAAAAATGCTTGCCACCGCACTCTCGACGGACTGCGTTACCGTGGCGAAATATAAATAGCAGTCAGAAGATTCGTCAGCGGCGTCAGCAGTCCGGTATGACAGGGAAAGAGCCTTTCTCTATGAGGTGTTTGGCCCTACAGAGAGAGCGTGGATCCTGCTAGACACGCCCCATCCGATGTCATTTTCCTACCAAGAATACTGGGGTGGGATACAGAGAATTTCCAATTTCAAAGGTTCTTCTGAAAAGATAGTGATGTGACTCTTGAAACATCAAGAAGTCTAAACTGACAAAATGGCAACCAGTTCGGAAATTGTTCAACTACTAACAACTGCCATGGAAGCTTGTAAAGCAAGAAAAGAATTGATTCTGGATTTTTTAGTGTTCTCTTGTTTTTGTACTTATAAAATTAGATAAACTCTAGAATTTTATTCAAGACTAGATAAAGATCGCAATAGTAGATAACCCTCAACATTTTAAGGTTCTACAGGTTCCAACGACAAGCTAATTTTAATTTGGGCCTTGACGGGCAATTTATCCCTAGAATCGGAACTATTTCATCAAAGCATATCGTTAACGAATGTAAGTGGAATTCCCGAATCACAGTTAACAGAAAACGACAATGCGAATGGTGTTACATTGCTAGAGAAAATTGACGATATTGCTGAAGGGGCCATAAATAGTTGTTGTTTTTTCAATAAAAATTTGTTAGCTACGGGATCAGGGTAAGTAATGAATTTTTTGATACGTTGAATGACTTTTCTGCTTTCTATTTTATTTTTTTTGCATATTGAAGTCATATTATTTATTTTAAATAAGCAGTAAAACCAAAAAACGTTTTGAAAACCAAAAAAATTAAAATGCACATAATAAAAATTTGTTTTAGCGATAAACTAGTACGGCTGTTTAAAGTTGGCGAAGAAAATAATAATATTGAAGAACTAGATTATTCACCTTTAGAAGGTCACACTTATGTAATAAATCACGTAGAGTTTTCAAAAGATGGAAGTATGATAGCATCCTGTTCATTAGATGGGTGTACTACTATTTGGAATACATCAGTAAGAATTACACTACTTCAATACAATATCCCTTCCAGTTTTCATTTTTCATTACACATTTTACATTAACAGCTAATTGTTTATATATAAAAAAAGAATCATAAAAATTGATGGTATTATCATAGTTGAAATACTTCACAATATCAGAGTGCTTCAAAGAAATGCAAAATTTATTTATGTAAATGAATAATTCTGTCAATATGTTTTGAGAAACGTTAAATATTTGTGAATACATAGATTACTTCATCTTCATCTTCATCTAGTGGTTGGTCCTTTAAAAAGTCCCATAGCACTGCGGCCTAATTAGGCCTATTGTGCGTCCCACTACTAGTCCTATTCAGCAAGTAGATTTGTCCTTTTTACAAAGTCCAAAAGCTTCCTTGCTGACACTTCTCTCAATTCCTTGGGTTCCAAATAGGGTCTCCCAAGGAGCGTCATTCTGCTACGTGCAAATCCCGGGCACTCGCCCAGGATATGCAGAGAAGTTTCATCCGCCGATTCACATCCTCGGCAGACCGGACTGTCTA